AATATGGATCGTACTTGGATGTATGAAAGACTTTATCCAGGGAGAAAAGGGTTGAAAACTGAATTCATTGAAGGGGTGAAAGAATTCGTTAGAAAAGCAAAGGAACTTCCACAATTTTTATCAGAGGGAGGGATTCGATGTCCATGTGTGAAATGTGAATGCATGAACATATTAAGTGAAACAGATTTAAGAGCTCATTTATACAAATATGGATTTCAGCCTAATTATTGGACATGGACAGAACACGGGGAAGATAAGCCAATTTTTGATATTAGAGATGACTCAGTTGATTATGATTTTGATGATTTAAATGAATTTGAGATGATGGATCATATGGTTTGTGATGCTCTTAGACAAGTAGTTGATGATAGTAATGAAGTGCATACTGAGGAAACACCTAACCCATCATGCCAAAAGTTTTATGATATCTTGACGACTGCTAACCAGCCAATTTATGAAGGGTGTTCCGAATTACCATTATCTCTTTCTGTTAGATTGTTGGCGGCAAGGTCTAATTGGCATGTACCCCAAAAGTGTGTGGATAACTTTGCACAAATGTTGGTTGATGTTTCACCTACAAAGGATAACATACCCAAAAATTGTTATGAGGCAACGAGACTAGCTTCAAAATTAGGTCTGAAGGTTGAGACAATTGATTGTTGTGTGGATGGTTGCATGTTGTTCTATAAAGATGATAAGAACTTGGATGCTTGTAAATTTTGCAAAAAGCCTAGATTTAAACCACAAAGTCATGGGATGGGAAAGCATAGAAGAGTTCCGGTGAAAAAGATGTTTTACTTTCCCATAAGGCCTAGATTGCAAAGAATGTATGCATCTAAAAAAACTGCAAAACTTATGACATGGCATCATGAGAACAAAAATGACAACGATGTTCTTCTTGTTGGCCTGTAATTCTTGTTCCTTACAACCTCCCTCCTGAATTTTGCATGACAAAACCATACATGTTCTTAACTTGTCTTGTTCCAGGCCCGAAGAATCCAGGTGTAAAAATAGATGTATTTTTACGACCCATGGTGGATGAACTACAAGAATTATGGATTCATGGTGCTTTGACATATGATGCTTCCAGAAAAAAGAACTTCATGATGAGAGTTAGTCTAATGTGGACCATTAATGATTTTCCAGCATATGGTATGTTATCTGGCTGGAGTACGCATGGCAGATTAGCATGCCCATATTGCATGGAGGATACAAAAGCATTTTGGTTGAAATATGGGAGAAAACACTCATGGTTTGATTGTCATCGACGGTTCTTGTCAAAAGACCACTCGTTTCGAAGGAGTAAAAGATCATTTAGAAGGAACACTGAGGAGAAAGAAGGGCCACCATTTATTTTTGATGGCGACCTCGTGTGGCAAAGTGTTCAGGACTTACCACAAGCGACAGTGTCAATGCCGCCTTCAAAGATACCAGGATTTGGGGTGAGTCACAATTGGACGAAACAAAGTATTTTTTGGGACCTTCCATATTGGAAGGATAATTTGCTAAGGCACAACCTAGACGTGATGCATATTGAAAAAAATGTCTTTGAGAATGTCTTCAACACTGTGATGAATGTCAAAGGTAAATCAAAAGACAACGAGAGGTCAAGAATGGATATGAAGACTGAGTGTGCCCGTGGTGATTTGGAATTGGTGTCATTACCAAATGGAAAGATGCTGTTACCAAAGGCGAAGTACACATTGAGCTCAATTGAGGCAAAATTAGTTTGTGACTGGATAAAAGAATTGAAAATGCCAGATGGGTATGCATCGAATCTTTCTAGGTGTGTGGATGCGAGTAAAGGTTTAATGAGTGGAATGAAAAGTCATGATTGTCATGTGTTCATGCAAAATTTACTACCGATTGCATTCCGTTCCTTGCCTAATCTTGTGTGGAAACCACTTGCAGAGCTTAATCTTTTTTTCAAAAATATTTGTTGTACGTCGCTAAAACTTAGTGACATAGACAAAATGGAGTCTAATATTCCAATACTTCTTTGTAAGCTGGAAAGAATTTTTCCACCATCGTTCTTTGACTCTATGGAACATCTCATTATCCATCTACCTAGAGAAGCACGACTTGGTGGTCCAGTGCAGTATAGATGGATGTATCTCTTTGAGAGGTATGCTCTGAATGAGAAATTGTTTTATAATTTATTCAGATTATTACTAATTGCATTACTTTTTTTGAAGAATGATGGGTGTTTACAAGAAGGCCGTGACCCAAAAGGCAAGAGTTGAAGGCTCTATATGCTCTGACTATCTCGGTCGTGAGATTAGCTATTTCTGCTCTAGTTATTTTGAAACAGTTAGTCTTCACATGAGTTCCGGTGTTAGGAATGATCCCGCAAACAATCTCATACCACATTCCTCTTTGTCCATATGTAATAACGGTGGACGTCCAAGTGGAAAGTGCGAATCACATTGGATGACTGACGAGGAATGGAACTCGGCTCAATCAATTGCAATGAAGTCAAACCGTATCTTGAGTAAGCATTTATGTAGTGCATAGTGCTATATGATTTTCAATACTTCCTATTGCTTTCGTATTGAGTAAATATGACTACGAAACTGCAGTTTGTTTCTAAGGACACATGACGATGGTGAAAGTAAAATCTATTCACATTTTCCGCAATGGTTTAAGACATACGTAAGTGGTTATATATAGCTTGATGCTTGTGCAATAACGAAAATAGTCATATACTAACTCAAGATTTTTTAGGTTCTTGACGCAGGGAATAAAGTGATCAATAACGAACTTAAATGTTTGGCTTGGGGTCCTATGTCAAGAGTTATGTCATGGAACATTTATTTTGTAAATGGTTATAAGTTTCATACGCAATCATGGAGTCATGGGAAGAAAACAATCAATTGTGGGGTGTCTGTCAAAGGTGTTACAGAAAGTGGAGAGGGTGATTTCTTTGGGGTCATAGAACACATATATGAATTAGAATATCACGGGTTACCTGCAAGGGTTGCTCTCTTTGCTTGCAAGTGGTTTGACAATTCAAACAGAGGCACAAAAGTGCATTCACAATATAAGATTGTGGAAATTCATAAAAGCAGACGATATCAAAGTTATGACCCGTTCCTTATTGTTCAAAAAGCTCGACAAGTGTACTATGTTGATTATCCCCAGACATGTAGAGATTTGCGTTCTTGGTGTGTTGTAATTACAACGAAACCAAGAGGTCACATCGAGGCAGATAGCGTTCATGACGAAGCAGAAGCAGAAGCATCTTTGGTATATCAGGCCGAAGAAGCACCCATTCCCTTCTTGGAGATTGAGAACATAAATGGATTGGCTGATCATACTACTTTGAACGAAAACCAAATGATTGATGCACCTCAACCACGAGATTTTGATGAAGAGGGTGAAGAAGAGGAAGATGTAGAGAACAATGCCCTAAATGATGACGATAGCCTTGGTGAATTAAGTGACAACACAGATGATGATTGTGCGAGTGATGAGGAGTCCTAATTTTGTTTTAAAATCACAATGTGGTTAACTATTCTATTGCATTTTGTTTGAATGTTATGTTTTATGGTGGTGAATTTGTATGTATGTGTATTCTCAATTAAATTCATGTTTGAATGCTAATCAGATTGTTTTTTTGTAATTTGTTCTTGACAAATATTTTATGTAGTACAGATGTCTTCAAATGATAAGGAAACGAGTGTGACATCTAAGAGGAAATCAATGTCGACAATGAAGACGTTAGCTCCTGGAGATCTTAGGAAACATGCTACTTTAAAGAGCAAGAGTCGCACACTAACACCTACGACTAATGTGCAATCTTCTCAAGATCTAGGTTCAAAGGAGCCAATTGTGATGATGCCCACACCCCGTGTACCACAGAGGATTCAAAATGAGACCGGAAATGAGGACAATGAGTGGGAGGAGGAACTTCATCGTCATGACGAGGAGGAAAACGAAACGCATGTAGAAGATCAAATATTTCGAGACCCCCTCCCCCAGTTGAAAAGAGCTAAGGTTGTGCGTGCCATCCCAGCAGAACAATGGCCAAAGGATCAAGATGGGAAGTTCATCTTACGTGTTGTAGGTCGTTG